TGAAGCAGCCAATGCAGGAGCCTGTAATTCAGGGGCGTTCGGGGCTTTGAAGCGAAGTGCGGGGTAAATCTAGCCCCTCCTTTGTCAAAATATTAGGCGTACTGATTGATAGTGATTGCGGGTATGTATAGGGGAGAACGTGACGGGAGGCTCGCAGAAGGCTAAATATTGATCAGATACAATACAAAGTTGAAGAAATCAGTTATAATACAATTGGATATCATTCAAAATATATAAATGATTGGATTGGCACAACTCAGTTCCGTACAATCGTTCTCAGAGAAGGTTAAATAATGCGATTGATTAGGTATTAGTATTATGATATAATCCAACAAATAAAGACCATGTTTACAAACTTAGTAGAGTCTCGACCAAATTTCCCGGCGCCTCAAAAAAGTCAAACATGACAATCCCCACCCTCTTTCCATTCATCCCCTTCAAAAATGTCATCAGCTTTTGATTTACACCCCCAGCTGGCGTATATTCTGTCCCGTTTCCAATAGCCATTATCTCAGGAAACACACCATCTGAGATCTTCCCTCCACTGGCCCAAGTCCACCATAAACCATCAGGTGCTAAAGACTCATCCGCTGCCTTCATCAGATGTGTCATTGTGACGTTGTACTTCGACTGAATATTGACCGTTGCATTTGACTGAGCTGGAGTTTGAGGCTCATAATTATCCTCGATATATGCTGTATAATTGTTTGCTGTATTATAATTGATTTCAATGTCAGGGGAATTATCGATCCAAAGAGCGGGGGAGAAATGAAGGCCAGGTAAAGCATTTTCGTAAGCGTCTGACAATTGATCAAGATCGAAGCGGCGAAGAAGGACGATTTTACCTCTTGCATCACCAAGAGTTCCTAATTCATTTTTCGTCTGTAAAAAATACTTTGTTGCTGCTGGTGATGTGAGAACATTGAACAACTTGAGTTGTGCTTCTTCATCATTTCTTCCATATTCCGTCGTGCTACCTTCATATTGAAGGCTAAGCAAGACTACTTCAGAGGGATGATTATCAAGCCAATGAAAATAACCAAATAGTACATCATCCAACGTTGCAGTCTGGGATAGAAGAGCTTGACTATGCCAAAATACAATCGAGGTGTTTGTAACGTCCAGGGCAAATCTCAAGTCGAATGCTCGTATTCCCGCATTGAGCATATCTGCAATAGAATTATTCTGGCAGCGATAATACTCTGGTGGATTAGGGACTTGATTTCCTAGAGATGTGACACCAGATAGCGCAGACTGAGTGGCGAGAGAATAGTTCCAAGTTGCGGTATCGTGAGTCCCTGGAATATTCATATGTACGAGCTTTGTGGTATCAGCGTATTGGCTCATCCACGTCGAGGTATTCAATTGATTGTCTGCGTAGTTCCCAAAAATCGGAGATGCATTTGTAAGAAGCTTCTGTAGGGCAAATTCTTGCAGTGAAACATCTGACTCGCTGACTTGACGTGATATTGGGAAAGCATGGGCTCCATATGATATTGCCAAAGCGATTAAAAAGTTGGGAATAGTAATGAGCATGGCGATTGTAATTGTACACTTGGCGATGTTATGACGGAAAGAATTGTCGACGCGTAGTGATTAAGCTTCAGAATTGAAGTTTGGTCCAGAAATTGATAGAAGATGGGCTGAGATTGTGCTCTGTATGGGGTCAATATATGTTACCGTTGTACAATGAATCAGGATAAGATATTTGCTCTATGACACCGGCTCCAAATGTGCTTGATTTTCTAGTGCACCCCTTTAAATATGTGCTTGGAGATTCGATGGGATGGTAGTTTCCTTTTGACGTGAGTGTGAGATCTAGGTGGAGTCTAGCAAAGTGATCGTCGAAATAGAGGGTCGGAAAAATACCTCGTTTGCCGGGCTCAATTCTCGACTTCAGTAGATTGATATTTAATCTTAGATTGTTAGCATTAAAAATTCTATACTCCTTTCGCACATAAAAATGATTCCAATATTGTTCATTGAGACTTTCGATGCTAATAAAGCGGGATCACGACGGATCACTACGGAGTACGGATTCGCAGTGCTCACACTAATCCTTATGAGGTATGGTAAGGTTGGCCCGGTGGTGTAGTCTATATCTTGATACGAAGTGTATTGTACAGAGTAAAGAGACGAGAATATATCGCTGAAAGTACCAACTCATATGAATCTTATTACTTTTGCCGGGAAAGAAGCATTTTTGTTCGAAGGAAGTCGCCCTCTCCTTGTTGACTCCCACGTGGGGTTCTGTGAGAAACACATGTGTCGAAACACCCACTTTGATTGGTGTTCTAATGAAAGGGAATCCCATTCGTTCTGAGTTTGCAATGAAACTTTAACCATTTTCCGGGTTTTCATCTTTGTACTGTCGCCGCGTATATATGTTTAAATGGAGGTTCACTCCCACAAACCAATAACCAAGTGGAAGTGGAGGCTGTTTTTCTATACCGTTGGCCTTGCCTCAGGGTTCTTGATACTGTCAGCAAAATTTCACATCATGTTCGCCGGTAAATTCACCCTCTTCACAATGCTGGCGGGATCACAGGGGACGATTGCCCTATCTGCTTTCGAAACTTTTTATCCAATCGGCCTGAACGACACTTCATACATCACAAATACTTCACTTGGATCGTATGGTGGCATTTATTCAGCTCCTGGGAAGTCTACAGCTTCAAACATAACATACGGCACATACGATTACTGCTCGATGCCCCATCCAAGAGTACAAGAATATCGACTTCCTTCACCTGTAGCCAATGGAAGTGTCAAGGCGGAGCTCGTCTATCTTGAGTATTTACAAAGACATCAGAGGAGGACTATGTATAATGTCTTACCCAGTGGAGAGGTTAATTGATATCGCGTTGATGTCGGTGAACTTGCTAACTTTAGTTAGACCGTGCCGTTCAATTGCTCAGATATTTCCCCATATCTGTATGCTGGACCTCATGATACCACATTGGAACAGCCCATTCCAGTATATGCTAGCACATATACAGATGCACACAATCCTTTTTTGGGCAATTATATCTCGGGAACTTGCCAATATCCACAACTTACAATCGGTGGCCTATTAGATGGCTACCAGCACGGCCGGGACCTTTCAGGAGTGTATGGCGCCACCGGTAAATTGAGTCTCTTCCCCGCAACTCCATCGTTGGAGAAAACTTACTTTCGCTCCTCGGAGTCGCCTTTGACGCAACAGAGTGCTGGAGGGGTACTACGTGGAATCTGGCCCAAGCATCAAGGATCAATTTCTCTCCATCAACAAGCAAGTTCACTCGACACAGTTAACGCAGGGTACTCTTGCCCCGCAATTGCTTCAACACTAGCTAAAATCCAGTCAACTGCTGAATGGAAAGATCACCTGACGGCTACATCAGCCATACGTACTACACTTGGAAACATGTTCAACGCAGACTCTAGTGCATGGCAAGGGACAATGGATCATTTCGCAGACAATTTCCAAGCTCGACTCTGTAATGGTTATTCGCTTCCTTGCTCTCCGACAAATGCTTCAAATTGCGTAACTCGGGAAATGGCAGATGAAGTTTTCAGAGCTGGAGACTGGGAGTGGAATTATTACTGGAGGGCAAATCCATATGTTCAAGAATACATCCAAGTCGTCGAGGGACTATTTATTGCAGAGATAGTGTCAAGACTGGAAAGTGTTGCAAATGGGACAATCCAAGGAGGAAAGTATAGTCATACATTTGTTCATGATGGAGATATTGGTCCAGTAGCAGGCGCTTTGGGTATAAATGCTCTGAGATGGCCTGGAATGGGGAGCAACATTGCTGTGGAGATTTGGAAACTTCAGAACTTTAGCAGCCCGGCTATTGATGGAAATTTTGCAAGAGTATTGTATAGTGGACAGCCTATGCAGTCAAGCCAGGGAGACTTGGACTGGGTTCCGTTGCGAACTTTATTGGGAATTTTGAAGCAATTTGTGCCGACAGATATTGTGTCGCTATGCAACCGCTGAGGGAATCACCAGGGAAGATACCGGGAAGGGGATACTCCTTAGTAAAATTCACATGAAATATCCTATTATGTGAGAATACTGTCAATCACGTATTCCTTATTTGAGAGCAGACTCGATCATTTATACCTTGAGCTAGAATGTGAGAGAATACATTCAAGTGCTCGTCCTAGTCTCCCCAAAAAATAATGCTGCAGTTGAGAGATTGAAGTCTACTTAAGGCCATCACAATTTCTTTCTAGTAAAGCAAAAGAAACTGCACTTTTGTATTATTCATTAAAAAAAGAGTCCATCACTGCCCATACGATTGTATTTGGCGAATCAACCCTAATCGGGGGTTCATATTTATTCACTCCCTTATCTACGATAAGGGGGCCTTAGCAATTCATCAATTTTTCAGCAATTCATTAACTTTTTTTTTTGATATAAAATATCCCTAATAAATAGGATCAATTTTTTCTAACTTTTTATTTACAAAAAATAAAGATATTTTGAAATATATAAAATAATTATTAATTTAATTTGATTATAAATATTTATTTATATTATTAAAAAAACAAAAACTATAAGAATTATTATCAAAAGTTATGAATTGCTGAAAAGTTAATGAATTGCTGAGGCTCTCTTATTAGTACAATAGGGGGTGAAATGAAATATAACCCCCGATTACTCGAAACGTCATCAACGTGCCATCGGCGATTGAGGATGATGCCAGAATAAATCGCAGCAGTCAAATCTGATACCAAATGAGAGTAAGACTTATCAATGTGCTGCTACCAAACCACCCAGCAACTTCATCCCTCGAATCCTTAACATAGCAAGTACATTCCTGTACTTTTTTCACCTGGAGACAAAATCACGTGCGCGGGGTCGGGCTAGTACCGCATGTCGATGTAAAATGGACTTGGATCTCATTCGGTCCCGACATCAAGAAGGCTTTCTGCCCCACCTACGAGATATCAATTTCGACCACTTCACTCGTCCTTTACCAATCATAAAAGGCTGCAAATTCAACCAAAGCTTAATTAATGCCGATTCTCAATTCCACCCCTCTCTAGTCTCTTACATAATTAATGTTTCCCTCATGAAGCCTTCTGATCCTCCCCATCCCGTATCAAGAAGCCGGGTGGCTATGACTTTTTCCACTTTTCATTCGTGTCACGAGTTGTGGGGATCGTGGGGCACTCCATGTGCGTACGTACTACGGATGAAGAACTAATATATATGAAAAGACTTGAAGAATCGGAGGATGTTTCTATCTTATATAGAATTATACACTCTGAATTCTGGGTACCAATATACACCACATAATTTCTCTATATACCACATAATACGACATCATCCAACTCATCAAACAAACTTAAACATCGATTCAGAAAGTTCCTGAAAATAGCCATCATGGATAGAGCATCACACATTGTGATCATTGGGGCTGGTAAGATGCTTCGCTTCCTATCTCTTGAGTTCATCTACTTACACTTATAAGGCATGGGAGGGCTGTCAACCGCATTGTCTTTAGCTAAAGAAGGCTTCACAAACATCGAAGTTTTCGAGACAGCGTCGAATTTAGGTTTCGTCGGTGCTGGAATTCAATTGGCGCCAAACATGGCCAGAATATTGGATAGGTTGGGCTGTTGGAAGGAGATAGAGGCCGAAGCTGTTGACTTGAAGGAAACCAGCATTAGACGTACGTTCTGTTGCTCTCTTACCCTCTCGCCAAATTTTGAGAGTTATTTTTAAACCATGCGTTACCACACCTTATCTTGCCCACATTTTCCTTCAAAAGCATGTTACTGATCAAGAAACAGAGGGCGATTCTGATAAAGAGCTTGCTCACGTGGATCTTTTGTACATCAGAGAAACCTATGAATACCCTCATATGGTTGGCCACCGATCCAATCTTGCTGGCTCTATGTATGAGGCTTGTAAGAAAGAGAGTGGCATCAAATTTCATTTCTCTGTTGCAGCCGAAGCTGTCGAGTCTTTTGGCCCCAAGCCGCAACTCAAGGTTAAGCCACGTCATGGAGAATCTTATACTGTCGAAGCCGATGTCATTCTCGCATCAGACGGTATTAAATCGATCGTCAGATCAAAGATTCTGTCTGAATTGAACCATGACGCACACATTACAGACACGAACCAGGCAGCATATAGAATTATGCTAAAGCGTGAGGAAATGGAGAACGACCCCGAACTTTTGGAACTTATCAATGGAGACAAGGTCACAAGATGGATTGGAGAGAAAAGACATATCATCGCCTACCCAGTCTCAAGCAAACAAATCTATAACCTCTCCACAGTTCAACCAGACACAAATTTCGCTGCCGCCCCTTCAGCTACTTATACTACCAAGGGTGACAAGAGCGCTATGTTGGACATTTTCTCAGACTTTTGCCCTAAAGTCCAACGTATGTTGAACCTTGTTCCAGATGGTGAGGTATGTGAATGGAAACTTCGTGTCCACAGCCCTCTTCCAACTTGGGTCCGCGGATCCATTGCATTAGTTGGAGATGCTTGCCATCCAACTCTTCCTCATTTAGCTCAAGGTGCCGCTCAAGCAATTGAAGATGCTGCCGTGTTAGGTGCTGTGTTTTCCAAGTGTCCTTCAAACAGCCCATCAGATATCAACAAATCTTTACTCGTTTATGAGAGCGTTAGAAAGGAACGAGCCGAAACCCTCGTTGAGCTCGCTGCACAATCTGGACGAGCTCTACATTTGGGTGATGGAGCTGCGAAGGCAGAGAGAGATAAGCAATTCGCTGCATTGAAACAAACGGGGGGAGCAGTTCCAGATAAATGGGCAGATGCTGATGTTCAAAAGAGGATTTATGGTTTTGATTGTTATCAAGTTGCTCTTGACAGGTTTGAAGATTTATTTGCCAAGGTTGAAGAGGGTAAATTTGTTGGTTTGGACCAGCCAGTTAACAGTTCAGGTCAGAACGGAAATGCTGCCAATATATAATATCAATATACATACAATGTAAAAACTTTATCTTAAATGTTCAGCACCCACTCGATTCTGCACCTGGGACCGTTTATTCTAATCTGTAATTGGAGGTAGACTTAACAATCACTGTTTCGAGGTTGCGTGAGGCAACCTGAATTATATAACATACACGTGCGACGGATTCGTAACCAAACGCTTCGTTATTATCGTATCTTCATCCCCCTTGTGGTTTATCGTACGGGCAATGCCACTAAACATAATTGCCATACGATCAACGACAACAGAGCACAGTCTTCAAGAAGTGTCTAGGCCCCCCATAGTCTACAATGAAAGCACCAAAGTTCGAGAGCGAAGAACTTTGATTTGGGGCCATGGTGCGTCCGAGTGGCGTTTTCGGATAGCCTGATTTAATGCATACCTAACATCAGACAGCGACTTGACTCGCACGTCCATCAGAGCTAGTGGACCCTGATATCATTCATTTTTTGTCTTGCTCCGAAACGGTTTCAAAGACCAGATGAGTTTGAAATCGGTGTCTCGATGATTTAAGGCTGAGAGATTATTTGAGGTTATTGTTGCGAAGTCTAAGCACGAAGAGAAAGGATCATCGGGAGGTTAAACTTATTACAATTAAAATGAGCATAATATCGAAAACCGTTCGAAATCTCCATTCGAATGGAGCGTGTGGTGTAAATACATCTGACAAATGTAATTTCGTGCTTGTGAAATGAACCTCCCCGAAAAATGCCTAATATTGACCAATTGATTGGTCCCATGTTACCCCTCGAAATGAAAATCGTGAATAAATCGTTATCATCGTCACCAGAAGTTCGTCTGTTGTAGTGCGTGCATATTCTTATGTTGCCCCCCCGCCATCCATTATCCACTCACTTGCCAGATCCATCTCTTTTATTCTGGAAATTTTCGATCAAAGATGTCTTTTCCCATTCAAGATGAATTACATATAGGAACGCCGTAGAGGAAGTTACCTAAATCTAGGTTGGTGAATGCGTAGAATCAGTAGATCCAAATCGACTCTTCCGAATGTTCGGATCATCCATCAAGATTCTAACGTCGAACCCCCTCTCCAAATCTGTGGGAGAAAATTGACCTTTAGATGTACCTTCATATTGACCTAAAGCTCCAGATCCTTGTATCGCTCTGGGCAATCCGCGAAGAGTTTCAATAATAAGGTCTGCTTGCTGCATGGTTAAGCCCTCCTCCCGTTTTTCTTTATCCGCATCCCCGCCAACCAATTCATACTTCATTGCTTTCAGTGCCAAGTACAATACTGCGGCAAGGGAAGCTCCTAGAGCAGGACCAAGCCAGTAAATCCAATGATAAGTTGGGAATGAAGCTTGAACAAGGGCTGGTGAGAATGCTCGGGCAGGATTGATTCCTGCTCCTGTCCAAAATATACCGACAAGGTGGCCGACGAAAAGTGAAAACCCAATACCGATAGGTGCGACAAATGTAGACTTTGTCTTTTCGGCGACGAGCATGAGGATTGTGAATACAAGCATAAAGGTTAAAAGGAGTTCCATAAATAAGCCTTGAACTTTATCCGGATCGAATTAGTAAAGTGTCTTCCGCTTCCCTGGATTGTTCATGCTTACCATCTGTAACACCTGGTCCAAGTGATACTGCAAAAAGCATGTCGTCACCAGGTATGATGCCTTTGACTGCCGCAGCAGCCAAACTTCCACCGACAAGTTGAGCAGGTATAAGTATCAATGCTTTCGTAGGAGACACTGCCCCAATAAGCACGAGTGCGAGAGTGACGGCCGGGTTAAACTGCCCCCCACTGACACGAAAAAAAATCCAAACGTTTGCTGCAAGACTAGCACTAAATCCAAGTGCAATATATAACAGTTTTGATGTATCAGTCGCGTTGGGTGTGAGAGGCTTAGTTCCGTTGGATTGGTTCGCTGTTTGTGCTGCAGCAAATGCGAAGAAGAGGAACAGAAAAGTTCCAACCAGTTCACCGATCATAGAGACCAAGTAATCTCTAGCTGGGTTTCTCAATGCCATGATGCTTGATGTCGCTTAAATGATTCCAACTGATATATAATCTAGAGATTACCAAACAAGATGGTACGACTCCAAACAACTGGACTTCTCACAATAGTGCAAGGGAAAGACCATAGAAACAATGCAACCTATGTTTTAAAAGAATAACGAAGAAAGTAAGACAGCGGGGAGGAGGGAGTATAATAACAGAGTCATTATGCAGTGTAGCAATTGAACCGGTTCTACGTATGAGTATTCACACATCGAACCTCGAGATGTTTCGATACCCCAGAATATTACGCTAATAATGGACATGAAGTGATATGACGATCAATAACTATATCAAAAAATTGGGCTTCAGTTATCCCACGAACGTCACACGACGGAGGGCTGGGTGAAACCGAAGTATACACTGAATATTGCTATAATTTGGAGTTACAGAGTCGGATGATTAGTGCCATAACACAAAAGAGAAAAACGTACAGATGCACTACACCTCAAGCGCAGATCACTATATGCCTTCGCCCACCATAGCATCCCGGGTAGTGTTCAATCAATTCCTGGTATTATTCAGTTTTGTACTGGAGTTACCCGGATATCAATAAAACTATATGACAAATTACAAATTCTTGTGTATTTTTGAGGGGGTGGCGGGGCAGGGATTTCCGAGAACTTGATAGGTTTTACAAGAAAGTACGGTCTTCATTTCTCATGTTGAAACTAATTGAAAAGACCAAAATAACTTAAAGATGAATAGGTCAAAAGTTAGCAAAGGAATGCTAGGAGCATGAAGCGCTCAAGCCTCACCATGTCTAACGTGGTGGTTTAGCTAGTTTCAACGGAGAAAGACGCTAAACTAACAACAAATTTAGAAGCGGATGCCGGATTCTATCTCAAAACCCCCACGGCGGTGGTATGCTGCAATGATACAGGTAATTTGGTTGGTAGCTGAATATGAACATTCGTTCATTTGAAACCTACGGGTGTCAATTGGCGGGCTTATCCGTGCCACAATAATTCATCGGATTGATTGAGATGAAAAAAGCTCTTTGACTATCGTTTAAAAATGGCAAGTCGATGGAACCAAGACATTTATTTTTGCGAGTGATGATTTTCGTCGGAATTTTGGCAACGCGGGTCGTGGTGGCAGCGGATGCTTTCGAAACGATCAAATTGATTATACCTATATCAACCAGCGAAGCAAGAAGTTTTTGCTACCCGAAATGTCTTGAGAGCTTGCAGAATGTAAGAATTATCTTGTGATCAACATGTACTCTCAAATGATTGTGATAAACTTTTTTCAATGTGAGGCCAAACATCCCGAATCGATCCACGTAGCGTGAGATGGACATCGTTTTCACAAACGGTCGCTTAAAGCCTATAGATCCGCCTAGTTTATGGTGAAATGTGTTAAAAATAGTCATACAGAGTTTTGATGGGTTTGACGACTTTCCATACCATATCATGCACATGCTACCGCTGCTGCAGTGTGAATCGGAATACCTTCTTACGCTTTCAAGTATCATTCTGATATTCTACAAAGGACCATCTCGCAACTGTGGCACTAGCTGAATTTATGACATGTTTTGGAAATGAATCGTGATAGGATAAGATCTCTCTGGCTAATAATAACGGAAAAGAAAATCGATCAACTACTGGGTAGCTTTCCGAGTATCAAGAAGATGATAACTATAATTATCACAGCAGAAGTTGATGAACTATAACCATGTTACCTTCTAGTATTAGGGACTCTGAGCATCCGGATTTCGTGAATCGCAAGTGTAAATCCCTTCTCAACTATCTTCTACTTGATTCTGCATTAATCGCCGCCATCAGCAACGTGTTTCATTACTGATGAATGCTTGAAGGAGACACCCGACGCGATGTAATAATCTTGGAGTTTGATTCGTTCATTTTGGGCCATGAGAAAGAATGACCCTAAATTTTCTCGAGATCTACGGTGGCACATCGCCTTCCTATGAACGTTAGCCACGAGGTGCAATTATGCGTGAAACCAACTGCCATGGTCTGACAGCTCGGAGAATTTGTATACCAAGTGGATACTTTGGAGACTTTACACGGGGTGGTATTTGGCCCCCCAAAAATTGTCAAAAGAATTCAAGTAGACCACTTGGTCTCGATCTTGGCGATGCCAGGATGCACAAAATTCATGTAAAAAAACGTCAATCCATCTCACAACATATCAGTATCCGCCAAATCAAGGTTCATTTCGAAGAACATTAATATTGACCTTAGCTGAGGATGATCTTCATTGTATTGAAGGCCAATAATCGTATATCGAGAACCAATTGCTCAGTTGTTGAGTTAGATCGTAGTTGAGTGACTTGCAAGTTATCAATGGGCCACTACAGCTTCGAAGATAAAGTTGGTGGGAGCTTTCAGGATTGACTTATGTGATATGGGCTGTCGATCTTGAAGGAAATGGCTTGTACTACTACCTGGTCCTCGGCTCCACTGGGAGATCACAACAGAGAGAAGAGTCGGGCCAATTGAATATTGTCTTCTCAGGATGGTCTGGGAGAGATGGCCAAGGGAAAACGATTTCGAAAATCTTACTGAGTTGCAGAAAACACATTGTGAAGTCGTTGAACTATGAGGCTTTTTCCATTGAAAAGGAAATTAACTCTGGAATCCATTGTGCTTGATCTGGAACTTAGAAACAATCAATGAATGGTCGGGTCAACTTGACGCGCACAGAAGTCCGGCCGGGAGTGAAATTAAAGACTATGACTTTACTGCAAGTGAATTCAAAACTCGCGGCACCACCAAGTACTTTTGTCAAAGTCTCAAAGCTATCTACCCAGCAAGAAATGAGGGTAGTAGTCCCTTTAGAGTCTGTGAAGAGTCTTAAGCCACGTAGGGTAATAAGGTCTAAAATTGAGCCCTGTAGATGAAGGAATTAAGATTGAGCAGTCTGAAGCCCGGTCAAAATGGCTCTACTATAGAATCGAAGAATGGTCATGCCCAAATCTGAAAGAATATGATATGTTAAAATCAAGTGGTATATGTACAGAGCTGTCGAGGTTGTATACCCGATTTGTCAGAGTTTAATTATGTCTGGTTAAAAGTTTCGTAGCTCCTGTTCACTGTCGACGGTATCATGTGAGATTTTTGATAATTCTGCCGGGCGGTGACAGATTGAGGCTCGCTTTACTTTCGCAAAACCTCAACCAAGGCTGTAATCGTATGTTTCACTGCATGCAATTTTATAATTGAATGTCGAAGCTTTGTCAAAAAAGTGAGCAGAGTTTTGCTGTTTATATGCATTATTATAAGAAGATTGCGCGAAAAGGTATGTGGATTAAATATGTAATGGCAGATGTGCAATTGGCTTTGAAAGATATACGAGGTATCTCCTAGAGTGCGTGTTTATGGCGCCCTCGCTTAACGGGGATCTATTGATCAATCAGAATATCAGAATTTTAAGAATTCTTATTATTTTAACACGTTTTTTTATAATAGTTATTCAATAATTATTATTTTGATAAAAACAAATAGCATATTCTTTAAAGTTTTATATAATCTTTTATTCATATTTTTTATTTTTAATAAATATCGAGCTTTTGATTTGATATATATTTTTAAATATAAATTGTATAGAAATTAATTACAAATACTTTTATTTGAGAGAATGAAATACAATAATATTTTTAAAATCATTTAATTATTATTTTGCAATTCAAAAACTATAGAGATATAGTTGATATATTTATTATTACTTTTCTAATAAATTTCAATTTTCAAATATAACATTGAAATCTTTATATATAATACTATTTATAAAGCTATAAATGTTCTTATTTGGTGCACGGACCACTCTGGGCGCCATAAACCCGCACTCTAGGGGATAACATTCTGAAAGTTCCCAAGCTCCCTTCCTCGCTCGTTTGTGTGCAATATGAAGCTCATTTATGATGTCGCAGAAATTTGTATCGAAACGGAATCTTTCACGGATTGAGATATATACCAGCCAAATGGAACATGTTCGTGGAAGTTTCAAGTGGGCCGACCGGACAATTGTTGAACTTTGGCATTATGGAATTCCAACCGCTGCGAAGTTCATGAAAGGGTTTCCACCCTGCATGCTTTAGGGAGACCTTTGGCAGTGCGGCAGGCCACCGCTTGATCAAGCAGTTGTTGGTATCGCACAAAGCCCTATGTCAAGACGAATATCTGGCAGAATGCCAGGAAAGAATATGCAAAATGTGCTTTGTGGACATCTCTTTTATATTAAAGAGAAGTTCAATCAATGAATATGATAGCCACAGCGGAATCTCTCCTTGAACTCTAAAACTTTCTATGTTTTTTCACTCTATCTTCAGTCCGTCGAGTCTATTATTTTCGGATCGCACGCAGGTCTTTGGGTGTCAATTTGCGTAGTGCTTTAAAGTCGGGTCTCCCAGGGGGTTTCGGTACAGATTTTCTCCATTTCCACAAAGTTTCTGAACCGACCGCCATCCCCTTAGTCATCTGCTTAATCCGTATAGAGACTTTGCTGCTCTCTCCATACATAGCAGTCGTTTTTTGTTGTTTTTGTAAAGCCAAGACTGTTGGCTGTTCTTCCCACAATACATCCTGCATAAACTTTTGTGAAAAGGATCACTCCCGATATTCTTTAATTTCTACGTCTCGCCTCCGATTCTGATATTGGATTTCTCCCATGGGCTGGCAAACGAGTCTGAGTGTAGGAACTTTTTGCATCGCCCTTCTCAAAATTCATCAAAAATTCATCCGCTGGTGTAAACACGTTTTGTTTGCCTCATCAAACCCGCGTTAATGCAATGTCACTGAATTGATGCTAACATTTTTGGGAAGTCAGCATGCCTAAACCCCTCTTAACACGGAAAACTGAAACTCTGAGGATCATTCCTAAAATAATGAGCTAATATCGAGATTTTATCGCTTCAAGAGCCAGTCATTGTAATCATGTTCATTCTCCCTACCACAAGTAGGCCAAAAGTTTGACAAATTCTAAAACAGAAGTCAAAAGCCATATACTACAGGAACCACAATGACCGCTCAGCCTTCCAATTTCCAATTTTTGTGTCTGTCAACAAATTCAACTAAAGCCCTTCCCACCTCATTCGGATGCGTTGCACTCAAGAAATGAGCACCTCCCTCCACAGTGACTAGCTCCTTACTGGCAGCATTAACAAACAACTTGATCTCTTCTTTAGCATTTGATAGACTGTACACGGCATCTGACGTTCCATGTAACCAAACAATTGGACATCGCACATCTGACAAGCGGCCGTGCAATCCGTCGCGCTCCCTGAGATTTATGGCTGCCATTCGAATCCTTCTCCTACCTTCATCCCCGCGGTATGTTTCTTTGATTGTTTTTATCCAAAATTCTCGGATATCATAAGAACAATCATTGAATCCTATATTGACCAGAAGATTGCAATATTCATCATCTGGCTCGAAATCCTCAGTCAACAATTTGGGATCGGCTGTGCTCTGTCTGATAATTTGACCTAATGCGGCTGAAGCATTCCAACAACCAAGAGAGCGTGTTCTTTCGGACTCATAGTCCATGGATGTTCCTAGAGGAATGACACCTTGTATTCGGTTGGGTGCAAAGAGAGCCATGCGAATGGTCAACCAACCACCTTGCGAAGTACCGAGAACAAAGGCATTCTCAATAGAAAGAGCGTCCATTGTCTGTATATTCGCTATTGCCGTGTCCCAGCTTGACAAGTATTAGTCTTCGTCTCGCAATACATTGGTTCCGCGACGTAAAGACATCCAATGATACAGAAGGGGAAGAAGGAAAGAAATAAATGCGCGACAAGAAATTTAAAACACACTAAGTCCAATTCTCAGTTTTGGTTCTCGTTCGTCCATGTCCCAATGGCTCAATAGCCAGCAGATTCATTGCTGTATTAAGTTCTTCATTCTCAAATTGTTGGCGATAGAGTTCTGCTGATGTTGTAAATGAATTAACAAGAATAAGAGTCGGCTTTGAAGGATCGTAGGTCTTGGGCATTTGATAGCTGTGAGTTTGATATCAGTTTTAATTCTGCGTGACGTACATAAAAAAATGTAAGCAAGGAAGATTGTTCCGACATACCCTACTTCTATTCCTCCTAGATGGGGTACCTGAATAGTTTTTGTGTCCGCCATGATTTATTCCAACCTACTAATGAAAACAAACAGTAACACAGTCCAAGTCTTCAATGATTTCCTTCTTATAGATACGCAATCGATTTTATCCACCGAAACCAATAATTCGACGCAAACCTGAGAATCCGGATGGTGGTAGTACGTGTCATTCAGCTGACAGCGACTAAGAACATTAGTGGCTGGCTGATCGATGAGTTCATGAATCTCACTTGCCAAGGATAATCTTGGCCGAGGTATTACTGCAAATAGCCGAATTGTAGTTGGCCCGAGTGAGAATAAAAATAAATTTGCCTAAAGCTTCCACGGAGTAAGCTTCTGATCTACAATCGATCTATTGTGGTATATCCAAGCCATAACTCCACGCCGCTGCAAATGCCATTGGTAAACAGATATACCTACGCCAAAGTCCATGTACCAATTTAACTCAATCAGCCCTGAAATCCAAAAGCGGCCAATCGTATTTCTATTGCGAATCTAAGCATTGGCAGTCTCGAAAATCACCTCCAGTCGTCATCCCACTGAGCAAAGAAGGACACTTCGTTGAAACCCGATCATCACTTGCGCATTGCATGAGTAAACCCCATATTCTCTCGACGGCGAATCCAAATGAAGGATTGTCAGGCGAATCATTTTCTTTCACAAACCTTGAATCATGACTCCATCCACTCTCGCTAGTTATCGTAGACAACAGATCCTCATATATGTCTCGACTAATTCCGCGGATACGTCTAGCTGATGCAATAAATTGTCCCTTGTATGACAAAAGGATTTTGGTGGAGTTTGTACAACTGGATCCGTAGATATCTTTGTACAGACCTGGAACCATAGCCCAGTCGTCAGTCCATCCAAATCGGTCACCACAGTTGTTACAAGAACAAGTGGATTCGGAAAATCCAAGACTCAACATCCCCGTTTGTGGTACTAGGTATGAATCAATTCGTGGTATGAGCTCCCGGATGTTATGAGCATGAGCTTGAATAAACATAGTTTGTCCTGCTAAATCATTCCAATGAGTAACGATATGACTCAGGTACGTTCCTCCTTCGCGACCAAGATTAGGAAGGCGCTCAACAATGTCAGCACCCGTGGAGTTCTTCAACATTGACAATGACACGGTGGGGTCTTTAGTGTATATAAGAACACGTGTATTCTGTGAGGATAAGTATGGTGTTGATTTTATAGCCTTTAACATCCGTGCGATTGACTCGGGTGTTTCTTTGTAAGCGCTAATGACAATATCAAAGGACGATGATACTGGCGTATACAAATTGTCCATCGAGGAGATGGGGCCGGGTTGTAATCTGAATAATTGAAATAGGGAGAATGCATATAAAGCAATTATAGCCAAGGTAGTAAGCGAGATCTTTAATATAAACACAGGTATTCTTTGGGAAGCCGGACTCGGGGCTTTGTTGAACGATCGGCAGTGGAGACGGCGTTGAATGTATCCCAAAATGTTCTCGAAGAAAATGTCAACTTTGGAATATCCAATGAGGCAATATATCGCTAGAAAATAGGAAGTGAATTGGATCCAAGATACCACAGATATCGGCCCAAATGTCAATGATATTAGCAAGACAAGAATGCTAGAAAGTCCGGATACGACGATCTCTGAAATGGCAAAGGGTTTTCTGGCATCCAGATGCTTCCCAGCCGAGAAAGAACTTGGGGTGTATGCGAGAATACTGATGCCAGAAAATGCTGCAGCAACCATGGTCACAGAGGAGATGAATAACAGAGCTAGAGTGCCTGACTCCGGATAGAACTCTAATATATTGCACTCCTGAGTATAGGCCAGAAAGCCACTTATGAGGAGCCCAAAAGTTGTGGTCATCAAGATGTAAGGATGATAATTTGATAATACCTGGTCTCCGTGATCATTCATCTTGTGAGATGCCACAACGAAAAGAGCTCTAGAGATGCCGGTCATGGTGAAAGCTCCAACACCAAAAATAACTCCTGGAACAGTGAGACGATACTCGTTGTAAAGGGTTAAGGTTATGAATACTGCGATGCCGACTGTTTCAAGAGATATGCGCTTGGAAGAACGCGACTGCGAAAAGAAAATGAAGAGAGTAAGAGATTCTATCAGGTGAACCAGTGGCTGAAACTCGTTAGCTTTGTGGCGACCAATTGGCAGAAATCACCTACGAAGAGCATAATCAAGACAGGGAGACTTGACATATGCATGAGTGCCTCCATCAGCAATGGTAAAGCAACTGCGGAAGTTAAGGAGGCAGTTATCATCCAGAACCACGACTGAGTTCGCTGGAAGCCTTTCGTAGTAGACTGAACATTGATCCGAGATTCATAGCGTGATGTGATGATAAATGTAAGCAACCACAGACCAAAGTAGAATGTAGATATCGTGAGAGCTGAATGATATTTAGTTCTTGCCCCGGCAATAAATGAATGTTGTCATACGGTAATCTGTCTTTGGATTAGTACCATTAAGAATCATTGTTATTCTCGAAAAACTTACGAAATCCTCTCTGTAACAACAGAAGCTTATTTGCATATATTGAGATCGATGAAGAAAATATCCAGAAGCTAGGGTATGGTAACACGTCAGTGCCTACATCTTTACTCCCATGGATGAATAAAGATAAATATCACAATCATATGTATGATGTGAATGTTATCATAAGCGCAAACTAACACTGCTTTTCCCCAACTCAGGTTCTCAATGCCATTACTAGACTCGAAATCGCACGTGTTGAGACTAAACCCTTCTTTCAATTTATCCAAGGAATGTTCGATATCAGCTTCGACAGCGGGGTAAAGAGGAGTCTCCAGAACTCTATAGTCATTGCTTTCCATAATCACACTCGAGTATTTGCAATGGATTTTCGGACTCGGAGAAGCTCAAGTCCTTTGATCTTGCTTTGATATAGGACAACATGGTTGAAATTTCCTCATGTCGAAAGGGGGTACTGAACATGTACGGGGCTTAGCAACTCATAATAATATTCATGGATAGAGATGATGCATGCTCGAAAAGATTTCGATCCATGGCCACTTGGCGCATATTCTAGGACATAGGATTTGATGTTTCGGAACATGGTCCACAAATCATATCGGTACCGTCTTCATTTCCTCTTCTAATTTAGGTCATCCCAATTTTTCCCCACGATGTATGTAATTCATATTCCATGAAAGATTTGCCGTAATTGCTTTTGCAATCAAGTAAACATGAAGTGGGAGGATAATTTAATTCCTTATGCAGAGTAAGAATGAAGAGACGTCGATGCATTTTTGTGGTATGAAAGGTGAGAATGATTATGTTTTCAGGATCTAGCTGCGTATATATTCCTTGAATAATTTACCAAAAGCTGTGAAAGACATCTAAAAATAAAATGACAATCAACAGTCTGACAAGCCGTTTTCGTGGTATTGTAGGATGATGAGACGCGCGGCAAAAGCCCCGAATCCACTATAAATATGGGGAGTTGAAGATTGTACTGGGGAAACATTGCTAATTTAGTGGCCGAGAGCCTTGTCGCAGCCTATGAAACTTATGCCCACAACAAAATAAATGTAGATGATTACTTACAGGTCTCTACCATTATGTGCACTGGACTGCATATTTACTTGAATGAGGATCTTGACCACAACCACTAGTACTCCGTAAAGAGAAAACAGCAAGTGGAGATACTAAAATTTGGCTTAAAGGAGTTTTCAGGCAGCACTAGAAAAGGAAGTTGTCGGGCTTTGGATTTTATGTGCAAAACTGGGATTGGAGGAAGATTCCCTGTGAACCATACTAAATCATCTCAAAATGCCATTGATGGACAACATACGAGAAGGTCCATTCACCAAAGAATGGCCAAAGCTGTTGTGCTTCATTCTTAGAGGCTTCTTTAAAATCCATTCCTATTAGATGTGTCATGATACTTGATCGAGAATACTTTGGTACACTCGAATTTGACATGCCCGAATGCAGGATAGAATGTGTTCGGCAATATGTCGAAACGAAGGAGAGCTCAAGAATCTGGAGCTTAGCTTGCAGAGCTGGCACGTTAAAATAGGACCATATCTTCATCGGATCACGCATCTGTGATATCATCGATCGTAAAATGTAAGATCCGATACGAATTCATTAGGATTTATTGAGGTTCAATAATTGCTTTGCCTTGCTTGCAACTTGGACCGTCGCTTAAGGTTACCGCTTATTAACCTTACTGACGCTGAAATCTCAAATCAACCCCAAACCCAAACAACCAACCAACACCAAGCCACCACCAAACGGACATGCCATGAAGTACTCAGCATAATCCTTCAATTTCTCAATGTGCCAGATCATACCCGCGATGCCTTATTCATTTCATGATACATACAGTCAAAGTCCCAGTTGAATGCTCTTTACAGCTGATCAAGGAACTCAGAATTTGGCATTGGCATCTTCTTTCCTTTTCATTCAACGCTACGATTTCTTGATTTATCATGACACACCAGATGAACAATTTCCCATCAATAAAACGGCTCGCCGTAATATCCATGTATTGAGATGCTCCATAATTGTTTGGAAGAGGAAAGCCCTGAATCGCAAATTCGTCTGCTAGTAAATCGCGGCACGAGAATGTTTAAAGGACAATAACCTTAGCTGGTCAAAATTAAAAAATGTTTCTCGGAAGTATCTACAATCACGTCAAAATAACCGCACCATTGCCTGGAGCTGTCTTAGCGATGAGAATACCATTGAGAACGGAAGCTCGGATACTGTGATTCTTTCGTTGTGAGAAATGATTGCAATTACGTGCACAATCGCTCACACGATTTTCAATGATGAACTTTGGACAATTCTGTTTTCGTTCAGTGGCAGAACAACTTACTATCTTTCATGTATCCCTATTCTTGGACGTCAACTCGGATCTTCATCCTTCGCAGCCTCAAATGGAAATCCTGGAAACGACGACATTTAAGAGATGGCTGTAGAATCTCTGTGGAGATGATCCACCCCGCGTTGTCATGTCAAGCATCAAACGCAGTTACGGCGAGAAAGGTAGAATAAGGATTGTGAAGGCCATTTATTAAACCACTCTGAACGAATCAAGATCATCCCTAGCAACGTGTCATTAGGATGACACACGTTAAGGGCTGCGATAATTCAATCCATCGTCACCATTTGATTACAGTTTTGAATAAAGCCTTCATTAGGGTTCGTTCGGATCGATTTTTTATTTTATTGATGAAATCTCTAATAATAATAAAACGATGAGGGATTTGAAATATTGGTATTTAAATAAAACTAATATATTTGGAATAATATCAAAATGTACAAGGTTGAATTGAAAATAAAAAAATTGAATTGAAAATAAATAAGATAACGCTTTTTCTCAAATATATTAGTTTAATTAGATTTCAAAAGTTGCTATTAGTTATTATATAAGAAAGATTGAGAAAATTTGTTACATTTATTATTTTAAGATTATTAGACTCAATATTTTATTAGATCTAATATTATATTCAGTAAATGCATTTATTTAAACTAATATATATTAGGCTTAATATTACATTTAGTAAATATTATATTAGATTTAATATATCTAATATATTGGTTTAATATCAATTTTTTTTTTAATTCGAATGGGCCCTTAGCATGACTATCTGGTTATGCATCGTCTGAATTTGACCGAGGAGAGTACTGGAGTTGGACACAAGAACTTTGACTCACTAAACACACTAGCTATAATTGAAATAGAGCCAATGCCTCCAAGCATTTCAACTTCCCTTTCAGTTTCATCTCTTATAGAAGTGAGCCCTTTGCTACTGAGAGTACCAAATGGATACCACGAACAAAGTTGTTTCCTCCAAAGCAGTATCAAATGAGGATGATTTCTGAATGTTCTGTTTTCCAAGACCAATATTTTCAACTTTTATTTAGAAACCCTCTCTGCTCTAACAACGTAAACTCTTCTCCAGATCACGGGGTATATATTTCAAGCTTAATAGGTAGGTCAAGGCAACCATAAATCGTGACATAACGTACAGGAACTGCGTTCTTTCTCTTTAGCTTCTAGACTTACCAACCAAAGCCAAGTTGCTCAGACCTTGGTCTACCGTAAAAAACACATGAGCCGCATGCCTTTAATCTACGGTATAAAAGATGTCTTGTCCGAATTATTGGCAGTCCAAATCTTCATGTATAACCCAGTATGTAATATTAGTTGCCTTGACTGGTGATTGACTTCAACGATTTTTCCAAGGGAATTATCAGAATTGAGCCTCATTTCTTTTAATGTCAGCTAAAGTTATGGAAGATATGAAGTCAATTAGTGGGACAGTTAATACATGAGGTGCTTGTTTTCCAATCATTTTAGACATGTTGAACAGCTGTGAGATGTGATGAACTAACCAATCAAAATATAGCATCTGTAGACGGACCTAGTTCTCTTTAGACTCTATCTTCATGACGAAGTTAAGATTGAAATATTCCTGGGTTGCCTGCGCACCAATTTGTCGTCCGATTGTATTGTATAGAACAACGATTGCACATAGTTCCGAGGTCACGGGATTTTCAAGTCCGAGGCATGAAGTCAATTAAATTCGGTGATGAGTTGTCACGGATCTGATATTTTGGTCCGGCGATAGGGGCTTGGGTAATTAGCGTATTGACATGTTAAGTCTCTGTATGATGCTACAATTCATATATATATCTTCATTTGAGCTTCTCATAGGTCGATGATAGAAACAGTCACGATGGCGTGATCGTCTTGCTGACTAAAACTGTTTAGTAATCGAGCTTCTAATCATGGATGTCAAAAATCCTTTCAATAGGCTTGAGCGGCGTGAGTATTCCTTGTCCGTTCAATTAACTTTACACTTTATTTTGATACTCATAGATATATCTTTCGCGGTAACGTGATAACTTACTTTATAACAATGTTGATACCTTTACGTTCTATCCCTAGGGCTCAATTTGCTCGGACTTCTCGAGGTTTTGCGACTGTATCACCTGTGGTTGGCCACAACCGGAATCACAAAATTGTCGTAGTAGGTGGAGGCTCCGCTGGCCTTGCTATCAGTCATCAGCTCCTTAGGCAGGCGAATCTTCATCAAGACGACATTGCTATTGTTGACCCAGCCACCTGGCATCACTATCAACCTGGATGGACTCTCGTTGGAGGTGGTCTTAAGACAAAGGAGAGTCTCCGAAAACCTTTGAAGGATTTGATTGATTCGAAACTTAAGTTTTACAATACCGGTGTTGAGGGGTTTTCCCCAGATGAAAACTTCATTACATTGAAAAACGGGGATATTGTTAATTATGACCAACTCGTTGTTGCTCCAGGTATTACGGTTGATGTTGGAAGTGTGAAGGGATTATCCGAAGCACTTGGAAACCCGGACTCTCTTGTGTCCTCTATATACAATTACGACACTTGTGATAAGGTCTTTGGTACAATACAAAAACTTCAAAAGGGAAAAGCCATTTTCACTCAACCAGCCGGTGTTATCAAGTGTGCTGGTGCTCCGCAGAAGATTATGTGGCTAGCATTGGATCATTGGAAACGCGCTGGTCTATATGACATCAAGGACCCTTCTAATTCCGCGATAAAAATTTCTTTTGCCACTGGTCTCCCAACAATGTTTGGTGTTCCTAAATATAGTGCCAAGCTCGAGGAATTGAGAAAAGAAAGGTTGGTGGAAGGGTTGTTCCAGTATGACCTTACCGCAATCGATGGGAACAAGGCGACTTTTACCCGTCCAGATGGTAAAGGTCAGGTCACGAAAGACTTTGATCTTTTGCATGTGGTACCAAAGAACAAACCACATGATTTTGTCAAGAACAGCGTGCTCGCAAATGATGCTGGGTATGTCAACGTCGACGAAGGGACTACCCGTCATATCAAATACCATAATATCTGGTCTGCCGGAGATGCTTCGAGTCTGCCAACTTCAAAAACAGTTGCAGCAATCACCGCAGAGGCACCAGTTCTGGTTCGAAATTTGCTCTTGGCTATTGATGGTCGGGAACCGGAAGAAATTTACGATGGTTATACGTCGTGTCCTCTCTTGACTGAATATGGAAAGGTACTTCTTGCAGAATTCAAGTACGGCGGAGTACCAAAGGAGACATTCAACAAATGGTTCGGCATTGATCAAACTATTCCGCGAACTGAATTTTATTATTTGAAAAAGAATTTCTTTCCATGGGTGTACGGGAAGTACATGGTGAAGGGTACTTGGGGTGGACCAAAGGGTTGGATCAAATAATTAGAGCACCTTTCAGATCAACCCAATCGTATCAATAATGACAATTTTAGTAAATGAACCTCCTTAGTTTTGCTTTACAGACCCTTTGAAAGTTTAGTGTTAATCAAAATTTTCAACATAAGTATGAGAGAATAATTATGCAGGTCCACCAGTGTGTAGATGAGCAAATGGAACACTTCTTGGCTTTCTAAATTCTTCATAAATCTGACCCTCAATTGTCTGATACCAGAATTCATCCGTTTAGTATTGAATCAGATTTGGATATTCTATGGAGGGAAAATGCCATTTACCATTAAGAAACGGCCTGATGACCTAGTTGAACACGATTTCATTGGAAGATGTTATGTCGATGGAATCATGTTCGGCGAGGTTTTTGAAGACGCAAATAGAACACTCTCGATGGAGATATTAATAGGTCAAAAAAGCGTTTTTTAATGTAAAAGGGTGGATCAAAACAAGGCTGGCCAAAAATAGAGTAGTTGACTTAAACCAACATTTGAGGTTTTTTGATATTCAAAACTAATTAAATACAAAATGCTTAAAAGAGTTTTGTATCCATCGTTTTCAACTTGTCAAGTTGAATCGCAGCTTCACTTTTAAGTATCGACTGAAATAGAAAGACTATCGAACTTACTGAGAAAGTTGTCAGTACTTGCGTGAGCAGATCTGTCGTAGACAATGTCGTCGATGTCATTCCATCTTTCCTGACATGCACGTACGTAGCCCAATCAACGAAGCCGTATGGAGAGATTTCTTTCGCTCGGAGTCGAATACAGTGGAACTCGCCGTTTCACCTCTTTCAGACGTTACGGATCTCGAAATCTGTCGTCAGGGTAGCTAACCAATGGGTTGACCGAGTGTTGGAAGTTGTATGGAATCAGTTAGTTGAGCTTGCAATATTGTGCTCAATTACATTTGAGTTGTCTTGTTGTTTATTTGGGTTTCACATCATCGCAGCATAATACATTTTTATGTTTGTGTAAATTACATTTTTACTCGTTTAGACGCATTACTTTCAGTTCCCAAGCTTTTTCGAGAAGGAAATTTGCTCTCTTTGCTGACACTACCACCACCACCACCTAGTTCATGAAATTCTGCTAATACACAAACAATGCATACACTTTTCTGATCATAATACTTGTCATTATTGAATCTAGTATTCAGAGCAACAGTGCGAGCAGTATCACCCAGCTTTATAAAATGCTTCAGAAGCGACGGATTTGTCTCGATGCTATGGTGCATTCTATTAGCTCATTGAATCAATCTGGCTTTATCTGAAATGAGCTATGAGTTTCTCTCCTTCTATAATCCGAGAGTGTTATCAGGATCGGAATCGAGTAGGTTGTAGAAAAAGAGTGCTGAGTATTAGAATATAGTGACATCAAATATACTAGCATTTGATGTACGAATATAATTGTCCAGAATTGACAACTTGGTAGTCAAACGTTTGTGTTCGTGAACATTTGAATTTATCCGTATCGCTGTTTGTATCCTATTCAGCAACTTCGAGTTAAGCATTTGTGATATTCTTGAATCATGATCGAGTGATCGAGAAGTGATGTTAGCAAGCTGTTCCTCATCCGAATCTATATCGAAGTCCATTCGGGTACATCTCGAATCCTCTCCGATATCGTTCAAGTCCATTTCACCATCTGACAACTCCTCACCACTAGGAGAGAAAATACCATGTACCGACGTGGAGTCAGAGCTCATTGAAGTTCGAGCTGGTGTTTCTGCAATAGCTGTTTGGATGATATTGATTAATGGCGTTTCCTGTTCGAAACGAATTGGCGATGGCTGGGGAACTTGTACTTCCGGAACTAGCTGAGGAGGCGTTTCTGCAATTGCTGCTTCGATAGAATTGATCAATGGCGTTTCTTTTTCGAAAATGACTGGTGGCAATCGGGGAACCTGGACTTCCGAAATTGGCTGAGGAGGATTCGCGGTATATGGTGATGGTACTAATGCTGAGTCAGGTCTACTCCATTACACTAAGCATACTAAAACAAGCGAGACAAAATGCGGAAACCAACAAATGCATCGTGTGCACGCAGCACAGGCCTCCACGTGACCTTTTTCCAGAGAGCGGATTTCGTAAAAAAGTGTCAAGAATTTCTCGATGAAAAGCGGGGCATAACTCTCCCTCACCTAACCCACGATGAGCTCAAATTCTGAATCCTTACTAGCGTTTAGCAAATTCAATGACGAACATTATAGAATATTGCGATTGTTAGAGATACAATTCCTCTATAATTGATACAAGGGGTAGCAGATGAAAAGCTAGGCTATTTATTGATTGAAGTATAGCGGGAGAGATTCACTGAGCTCGAGTATTTGTATTGATACTCGAGAAAGGATTATGAGAGTAAATTCATGTATTCTACCGGTATGCATGGCTCAAGCACAAAATGAGTCTGATACCTAAATGTAGAAGTACAGCGAATACAGCGACCTCACAGAGCTGCTCGAAACAGATCAAAACCACCTCCACAATCAATTAATATCGGAGTTTTCTGCCCAGTAACGCGGGACATAATGAGAATGAAGACTGGGCTGAAGGAGAACTGAGCTGAAGGGAGCCCTTCCAACTTTCGTATAGATGTACTTTTCCCTTCATTTTAGCGCTCTTGGGATTCAGTCATAAGTATGTCTGCATAAAATACGTTCTTGGGTCTGGATGATCATAGGGCTCTGCTGCCCCTGCTGCGAAAAGTTCTCATGGCATGACTCTAGCTAGCTTTCGTGGGGATCTGATTCGTGTCTTCCAAAAACGAAACGAAACAATATCGGTCAAAATACCAAAAGACAGGTCGATCGGGATCTCCTCCTCGCCCTCTCGGAAACCATTTTACTTCACACCGTCCTGCACTTTGTGTACTCAACAACCGTCTGTTTTGCTTGTACCGAGATGCCCCCACTGGCGCCATATATATGACGTCGACTGTCGATATGGCCTCCTGAAGAGCTGGAATCAACGTAGGTGGCGAGGCCAGAACCAGTGACGGTCCAACAATTGAAGTTACATTGGCTTTCTCGTTGCTGTCAGGGGTAATGACAACTACCTATATTACACTAAGTCAACTAGTAATGGCAAAAATTGGTCGGACTACATAAACTGTAACGCCTATCGTAATTTGGAATCACCTGCCCTCTACATTGTTGGTGGGTCTCCTTATTTAGCCCACTACGACAACAATGGCAGACTTTATGTTTCTCGTTTTGACGGTAGCAGATGGTCAGGTTTTAAAAATATCGGTAATGAAATGAGCAGTGGTCCTGCCATTGCAATGTTGAACAACAGGCTCCGCGTGCTTTGGACAATCGCGGGACAAGGCATCGCTGGAAGAGAGCGTAAGCCTCGCACTGAAAACTGTACATCGACCTATGCATGGATAAATGCATGGTGTGTTGTGTTGGGAAACCGACTCTGTGAACGTGAAGGGGAGCTATGGTAATTTCATGGCGTGGCGAAAATGATTCAAAGTGCTTGTCGAATTGTCGATCAATACATGATGAGGGATGTAAGGAGAATGATTTTCTCATGAAAATCGAAACCTGAGAGGGTTCTTGTCTACAATCGAGAATGAAAACCTTAAATTTGACCATCTAGCTATCTAGAAAGCTTCAAAGTATTGACGTATTAACAGCCCAATTCTAAATTCATTTTTATATCAAGTTTCAGTTTTATGCTTTCAGGAGATAAAAAGAAGTAAAAATTAACGTTTATTACCTAGGTTTGTCATTAAGAAGAATCATTTCTTACTATATTCAAATTACAGTTTTTGATTTGTATTTTCGTTCATACAGCCTATTAGTCCTGTATAAATTGAAGCTTCATTGAACTGACGCTTCTACCTAGTTTTGTGCGGGAAAATCATTACAACATCTACTTGCATTCCCTGATTTCTATCCCCTGCGCTCTGATATGGAGAGCAAGCTGCTTATGATTTAAAGGTTCTCGTGCTGGGTAAGCTGGTAATCGATGTGAAACAGCTGCACGATCGTCATGTGGAAACTGTGCGAATCGCGCCAAATAGTGTTTGAGAAGATATTTTTCCTTCCCAAATAAGGCACACACCATTTCCCTGGGATCCTACAGCTTTCAAATTCCCTCCATGCCAGCCAGATAATCATATACCATTGTTAATCAAGATGAAAATGCAAGAATGCGACAAGTGGCGATGTTCGCTATCACGGAGCGTGCACTTTCCAAGCAAGAACTAATTATTGAATCATACACTACTTTGTTGATGGAGGAAACGTTTAAGCAGATTAATGCATCCAAAGAGCATGAAGTAGGAACTATGATCATGTTGTAGATCGGTTCCAATGGCTCACGTTTGACGTGATCGGAGGAGCTCACTCCGAGGGAGTTCTTCAATTGCTCAAGTAACAAAGTTAAACACCCTCTGGTGGGGCTTCTCTTCAACAATTTGAAAGGTATGACTAATGACTAATGACTATTTACGATAAGAATTTTGAGAAGTTAATTCTAGTTTCTATTGTAATGGCGCAGGCAGTCGCAGTCTGATATTACACAGGTCTGGAACAGTTTCTCTTGGCTCTGCTCCAGGCTAGCATACCGTATACGACGAATGCAGATTGATGATTACCCCACTACATTAGACAAGATAAATCGGCGTATCGAGCGAAAAACAGCCCTCGAAGCTTTTATGACACCTATGCTTGACGACAACAACCCAAGCTTTCAGAAGATGACTCTGGCTGAGGTTGAATCTACTACTGCTCTGCTTCTTATTGCGGGTAGTGAAACTATGACCACTAAACTTAGTGAAACAATCAATTTTCTTGTTCAGAACCCTGTAGAGCTTCGTCGACTGGAAAGGGAGATTCGAGGTAAGTTAATGACATCACACTACGATCGCTCTTGAGCCTCTCTTTTCTCAATGCCGTGATAAATGAGGGATTGTGATTGTGTAACCCTGTGGCTGGAGGGATTCTCAAAGTTGCTCCGGAAGGTGGAGATAGAATTTGTGGTCATTATTTACCAGTAGGTGTAAGTTTGATGAGATGCCTTTATTTTTTTACAGCTGACTAATTAGAGCGTAACAGTAGACACATGTAACTATCAATCCAGTTGCCATGGCGTACTCAGAAGAATATTTTCATCGTCATGAACAATTTTTACCTCGTCGGTTTCTCTCCAATGATTTTCGACCCACTGAATTCAAGAAGGGTAGTCCGAATGCCTTGAAGCCCTTTGGGACAGGGACACGTAGTTGTTTGGGTAAATCGCTCGCGATGTGTGAATTGAGACTTTTGTTGGCTCAGATGATTTGAAAAATTGATCTTGATATTGCGCCCGGAAAGCAGGTCAAATGGTTAGACATGAAGATCTACATTGTCGTTCAAAAAGAACCAATAAATATTACAATCAAAGCAAGGTCCTGATATAGAGCCTAAGAGCTTGCGTTTTAACTACAAATCAATACATCAATTGTCCGACATGAACATCATTTCTGAATAACTAGACATGCATATTCGCACGCGTATATCTAGGAATAAAAACTATCACCATAAAGTACAGTACAGGACAATCAAGTTTCAATGTGAAGTGTTATCCATGCGTATTATAGAACCAAACGATGGAGCTTCAGGCAAGAGCAGACTAGATACAATTCACTACCGTGAAAAGGAATTCAACGACCGAGGCCAACTTCCTGAATGACTAGGTATGACGATGGAGAGCCAGATGCCTTAGACTGCCAGCTGTCTATACTCACCATCAGCGGTACAGCTTGCGAAGCGCCAAAGACGATGCTACCACATTGGAGCGCCTTTAGTCATAAGCCATTTGACTGGTTTGTTGACAGGAGGAAAGGATGTATGCCACAATCCGTTCTCAAATTCAACACTTTCCATGTTCAAGAAGAAGACTGGAAGTATATTGAAAAGGAAGGAAATGTTGACTTGTTTCTTGCCAGCTTCGGCAGCTATGGCCAAGATGTCAATAGGTGTTTCGGGAGTATTATACTGAGAGAGATCCGCTATTGTTTGAGGCTCTTCCTTCAGATGGTTGTACAATGGCTCAGAGAAAGAATCCATGATCTGGATGAGCTCTTTGGATGAGAAACTAGATCCCTTTTCCTGGACATAACTCTTGAAACGTTCTAGGCCGTCGTGGAAAGCCGCTGCAACCTTATTAGACAGTTTCTCTCGAGTAGAGTGACCGTGTGACTTACCATGCTGATCGACAGCACCGTCCATCAAGCCCTTGCGACCAGCAGCTTTTTCAATAGCAGGGAAGAATTCCGTCTCTTCATAGTGGTGATGCTGATCGACACAGTCAACCCACGCAATGCAATAACCCACAAAATCTTTTTTGTCGTCCGGGGATTGAATGCGTGGAGCTTGTTGGTATATGCTGTTGAAACCGCGAATGAACGAATTATGACTCAGTGCCATATGAGAAGCTTCAATCGTGAATGGATCTGTCTGATCAAAGCAGTCAGACGCTGCACATCAGGAGAAATAGATTTGCTTACCTTCCCAGATTTAAATCTTGGCGTACTAATTGGCGCAAGTGGGGTCTCAGTATACATATGCGGTGCCATAGTGAGCTTGTGTATGAAGTGGGCTTGTGGATTGTAGACGAAAGCAAGATAATTGAGAGAATGGGCTGAAGTCAGAACCTTGATTTGAAAAACATCAAAAAGTTGACAAAATTAATAGCTCGAGTTCTTTGGCTCAGCTGTAGTAATCGCGTTGGAGCCTCTTTTATACTTCGGCTCATTTTTTTTGCTGGGCAATAGGCAGTCAGAAATTTCATATCACGCCGTGATGCAAGTGGCTAGGCTGTTTGCATTAAGTTATACAGGTATCATCCTGCCAACCTAGTAACCAATATGAGGCACAGCTGTAGGTCTGTGGCAAAGCAACTCCGTCAAGTGGTGTAGTAAGCTAGATTCACCTATGTCGACAAGTAAGCTGCGTCTAATTGATACAACTTGAGGTCCAATATCAGCAAGATAAGCTCAATTCAGGCAGTTTATAGTGGATGATAAGCAAACTAAATCTGATTAGCAAATAAACAGGTATAGTAGTATTTAGTATAAAAAAAGATTAAGAATATTAAATATAACAAAATTATTATGAATCAAATTAATATAATATTATAATAATTATTTGGATTTATTCATTCTATATAAAGCTTTTATTTGAAAATATAGAGTAGAACATAATAAAGATTAATATTCTATTTTTATTCTATTTAATAGATATAAATAAATTCAAATTTAAAAGTAATAATCTTAATAATATTATTATTATATTTAAAGATATTTATTCTATATATTAATAATTTAATCATACATTTTCATTATAGAATATCAATATTTAGGATTTAATTAATTATTCTATTAATAATAATGTTGAATAGACTTAGAAAGGTATGAATAGGGTTAGAATAGTATAGTATTATATTATCTACCTGTATAGATAAGGGAATTCATTCAAGGGAATTCACTTCAAAGGATTCACTTCAATACAATGGCAACTGTATTAAGAGTATTAGACAAAAGCGAAGGAGATTAGCTCTTTTAGTAGTGTTTATATAAAACCTATTATTTTCTTTATTTAACTAGTTCTTTAAATTGAATACAAATAGACATTTAGGGGTTTATATATAGTGGGAACTATATTTTCTATATTTTTTTCAAATTAATATTAATCAATAATATTACAAATTACTTAACTTACTTATTCGAAATACCTTTTTATTCTTATTTCTTTTATTTCTCGTTATTAGTATTATAACAATCTGGGTAAGTATTAGTGCTAGCTTTAAGCAAGCTGACAAGAAACCCGATTCTAATAAGAAACCCGATACTAGTAAAAAACCGGTTTTATTTGATTAATTTATTGGTATAAAAGGGTATATCAATATAATGATTGATAATGTTAATTCTTTACAAGTAGGTTTCAGTATTTTTTTTTATGGAGATCTGGATCTGATCAGTGTCTCTCCTTATTGTTGGTTTGAGAGAGAGATACGGAAGACGTGGTTCCCACTATGTGTAGGCCCCTAAATGTCTATTTGTATTCAATCTAAGGAGCTAGCTAAATGAGGGGAATAGTAGGCCTTATATAGGCACTACTGAAAGAGCTAGTCTCCTTTGCTTTCGCCTAAATACCTTTAATACAGTTGTCATTGTATGGAAGTCATTCCTTTGAAGTGAATTCCTTTGAGTAAATTCTCTTGTTTATACACTTATCCTTATTTTATTGCTTCTTTTGATTTTTATATTCCTTCTAATAAAATATTAACTAAAGAAAAAAAAGCTTAAAATATTATAAAGGATTTGGGATTTAAAGAAGAATTTTAGAATTATTCTTTTTTAAAAAATCTTAATAAAGTTAAATAGTTTTATAAAGAATATATATTTAGATTAGAAATAGAATATTATATTAATAAATACTTTCTTTTTAGGATAATTATATACTCGTATATAAAGATTATTGATATATTTTTTTAGGATATAGTTATATTTAATTTCGATTATATTTATAAAGGTGTATTAAGAAATATTGATAAATTGATATTATATAACTTTTATATAATTTTGTAACGTTATAGAATTTATATTAATATTAATATAAATATCAAGAATATTTTTATAAAAGTATTTGTTTATAATAAATATTATGATTGGATTACAAATTAATTTCTGAAATATTAGTTTAATGAAATATAACTATTTATATCAATAAAATAAGCTTACCTTCTTATCAGATTTAATTCAAGATTATAAATCGAATCTTTTAAATCTTAGGATGGTGATATAACTAATTAACTAATTTTATCGAAATATAATAAAATTGTATTATTCCTTTTTTTTTGATATAATGAAAGAATTAGTTTTATTCTAATCTTTATTTTAATCTAGGGATGTACAAAATATATCTTTATTAAATTCAAGGGTTCTATTGATTAACACTCTTATAGAATTATTTGATAATAATAATAATTAGAACGGTGGCTGAGGTGGTAGAGGCGGTAGAGATAATAGTAGAGGTAATGGTAGAGATAGTAATAGAAATAATAGAAATAGGGATTATTATAATTATTCTAATTGTTAAAAAGATAATTAATATAATTAGAATTGTTATTTTATTAATCTTTTTAAGATTTATAAAGATAATGATAAATATAAAATATTAATAATTTTTTTTAATTGAAAATCTTTATATTTGTAGAATATTGTTGTAGAGTATTTATATTAATCGAAATAACTTTAATAGTTTTTTTGATTATACTCTTAAATATAGTTAGAAACTTTTATTAAACTAATCTTAATATTCTTTTTGAAATATATAAAGGTATATATAAAATGATGATTAATAATTTCAAAGAATCTGAATATTAGTAAAATATATTTTTTAAATAAAATAAATTATTTTCAAAAATTATATTAAAAAAAACCTGATTAAGAAATTTTAGAAAGTGTTTAATATAATAATTATGAATTTATATTTTATTCAATATGTTATTCCTAGGAATATATATAATTTATAATCATATTATATTAGGATCTTATTTATATATAATAATATTTCGAAATATTATTTTATAATATATAATTTTTATTTAATTATTATAAAACTTATTAATTAGATTAAATAAACTATTGGTTTTTATTAAAAAGTATTTTCGAAGTAGGATATATTATTTAAAACATTCTTTATAAATCGATATTTTTATAATAATAGATTTTCGAATTTTTTCTTTTGAAAATCTTATAATAAATATACCAAATAACAATCTTTTTTTATATTAATTAATAAGAATAAGAATAATTATTATTTTTTTTAATTATAAAAAAAAGGGTTATAGATATTATAAGTATATATAAAAAGAGAAAAATTAATTTAAAATGGATTATTATATTAAATATAATAATCTTAATGATAAGAGTTTTATGAAATAATATAAATAGTTTATTATTAGTATTGGGTAAAAGAATAATATTAATTAAAATGACAATAATGACGATAATAATAATCATCTCATTGATTAATATCTTACTAATACAAGTAATTCTAAAGAGGTCTTTAGAACATTCTTTACCTCTATAAATATTTATAATAATTCTTTAATAATGATTAATTTCAATAATATTGTAAGTACTTATAAGTTGATAATTAAAACATTTATTATAAACAACAAACAATATAATATTAATATATTCTTTAATATTATAATCAATACAAATATAATTGAAAAATTATTATTAAATATAATTAATATTTAGTATAAAAAAAATTAAGAATATTAAATATAATATAATTATTGTTAAATAAATAATAGTTTAGTATAATATTAGAATAATAATTTCTATTAGTTTATTTTATATTAAGTTTTTATTTAAAAAGATAAAATGGAATATAATAAAAACTAACTTTTTATTTTTATTTTTTTTAATTGATATAAATAAACTTAAGTTCAAATATAATAATCTTAATAATATTATTATTATATCTAAAAATGTTTATTTTATATATTAATAATTTAGCCATACATTTTTGCTATAGAATATTAATATTGAAGGATTGATTAGTCATTCTATTGATAATAATAATTGTTATTTTATTAAAGTTAAGTTATAACAAATTCATTATTAATTTGAGTATTCATTTATATACAAGTTTTATAAAGTATTTAGATACTTCGGATATAATAAGAACTTTGAGGCGATTAAATAGCTTACTAAGTTTTATTACTATTATCAAATTTATAATAAATCGTTTAATAGATTCAAATTCTTTTTGTTTAATAAAGATTTTGAGTTTAATTATATTATATTTGTTAATATACTTTATATTAATAATAATTTGATATTATATATTATTAATAAAATTATATACTTTTAAACTACTCAATAGCTAAATAATATATCTATAAAATATATATAGAATAAATTCTGTAAGTACTAAATCGATATGTATATTAATTTACTAAAGTATATTATTTATAATATTGATATCAACTTTGTTGAAAAAGAGTTTTAGTAATATATTACATTAATATCTATTTAAATAAAAATAATCCCATGAAAACATGTTATTTGATTAATATTGTTAAAAGATTTTATATATTATTACACAGATCTTATGAAATTATTTATAAAGAAATTCATAAACTCAATATTTGTAAGGTAATTATACTTCAAATAATTGTAAAAATAATTAATGATATTACTAAATCTAATGATTTAATACCCACTTTATTTGTTTTTAAAATATTTCCTTGTATAATCGATATTAGCCCTTTAATATCTACTATTTAATAATATACTACTACAATCTCTAAAACTGTAATAGAGATTTGTAGAGTATATAATTCTATATAAGTATAAAAAGCCTTGAATACATATAATAAACCCTCTACAATTGTATTTCATGATTTATTATTAAACAGCAAGATTTTAATCTGAAGGGAAAATAATAGAATAACTACCAATAAATGAAAAAAACCTTTTTTATTTATTAATATAGAAAGAAAAATATATACTTTTGATCTACCTTATAAATCTATAAGATTTAGATTTATATCAATAAAATCGTATTACAAATAATTAGAAGTTAAATATATTAAAGAAATTGAAGAAATTAATTATAATATTGATTTTAAAGTAATTTTATTAAAATCCGATAAAATTATATCATCTTCTTCAAAAATAGTAATTATATATACAATAAATCTAGAGAAACTTTTCTTGGATTTATTCAAAAATAATTAAATATTTATACTGATATTTTTCCTGTAAATAATTATATCTCGAATTTAAGCTTATATATAAAATTACTATTTCAAATATTTTACTATTAATCCTAAGGATTTTATTATATATAAAGAATTTAGAAAAAAAAAGATTAATAAATTAATAGCTAAAAATATATTTGAAATTATATCACTTTTGGATATTCCTTTTAATATATATATTTTTAAATTACAATTTGTTAATGAAATCAAGAATAAAAAAATGGATACTGAATTCTATAAATCGAGATTAGTTATTCAAATATATAATAATATTAATAAGATATCTGTATTAATATAATTTTTAATAATTTAACAATTATATCAATATATTTTGGTTTTATTAATTATAAATAATCGAAAGATAGATATAGAAATATATATTCAAAATATTATTTAGATATACACTCAATTCACTTTAAACTTGTATTGCACTTTTTATACCTATACTCTGAAAAAAATAGATTTACTAATTAATATGATTTTATTAATTATTAAACCATTTTATAGTATTCCTAAAACAAAAAACTATTGATTCTAAACATACCATACCCATCACTATAAAAAGCTTAAAATATAGTAATCTATATATAACCCTTGTTTTTTATATATTAATAATAAAAGGATTAGATTTGATATTATAGAATTTTAAATAAATAATACACTTATCATTAGAGATAGTATATTTATACAAATTAAAAACAAATAATTCAAGTAGATTAGCTTTATAGCTAAAGATTATAAGTAACTTATTTATAATTATCCATTAAAGTTTAATAGTATTACTCTTACATTTAAAAATAATAATATTTATTTCAATTAAAAGAAATAATATAACAATTTACAATTTATATCTATAAAGTTTATAAATATACATAATATATATAATAAAATTTAGAAATATATTTCTATATATAAATAATATATTGTATAACAAATCTGTAAAATATATATTATAATTATATATCAACCCAAAGTATTTTTTGATTTGTTTATAATAATATAAATAATCTAATTTAACAAGAATAATATTGTAGTATTAAATAAATATATCAAATAATAAAAAGAAAACTTTGTTAGAAGATTTAAATACATATTATTTAATCTAAATTCATTTAAAATTATTATTTTTATTAATATTTCTTTTATAAACAATAAGGATTATTTATTTCAAATAAATTATATAATCATAATAATAAATAAATATAATAATGTTAATATTATTTATTGATTATTTATTAAATATAAAAGAATTATATATAGTATTTTAGTATTCGAATTATATAAATTAATTTAGAGATTTGATATTAATATAGCAATTATTTCTATAATTAATACTATTTTTAATAAAGAGATTTTATTAGTTTTATATACTAATTCCAAATCATTATATAATCTATTCATAAAACTAAAAACAATTAATAAAAAGAAACTAATAATCAATATCATAGTATTATATCAATCCTATAAGCAAAAAGAAATTATTAACATAATTTAAATTAATAATCTAATTAATTCAGTTAATATAATAATAAAAGGAAAGCTATATTAAGTTCTTACTGATCTAATTAATACAAATAAAATCGATATTAAGGTAATGAAGTAAATAGAATGAAATTAAGAAAAGAAAGGGATTGGTTCTGTTAATAAGAGATTAAAGACTTTAATCGATAAATGAAAAATATTTATAGTTTCATAAATTTCTTTTTAGTTATTATATTTGAAGTTATAAAAGAGAATTCTGAGTATATAAATAAAGGAATTTATTTAAGAAAATTTATTTTAAAGAATTTATTTTAATATAATAACAACTATATTAAGAATATTAGATAAAAGTAAAAGAGACTAACTTTTTCAATAGTATTTATATAAGGTCTATTATTTCCCTCATTTAGTTAGCTTTTTAAATTGAATATAAATAGATATTTAGGGGCCTACACATAGTGGGAACCACGTCTTCTGTATCTCTCTCAAACCAACACTACCCTCTTTATACGAGGAAGACATAGCTACACTATATACATATTCTACCCTATATACGTACTTCATACGGCGGTGAGGGGTTAGCATATGATTTATTTACGTATTTCAACAAATAAAGAATATTATCTTATAAAAATCCAATTATAGCAAATTCACTATTAATTCGATTATTCATTTGTCTATGAGTTCTGTAAAGTATTTAAATATTCTAAATCTAATAAGGATTTTAAAATAATTAAATTGTTTATTAAGTTTATAATAAATGATTTATTAGATTTATATTCTTTTTATTTAAAAATGATTTTGAATTTAATTATATAATATTTATTAATATACTTTATATTAATAACTAGCCTTCGGGGAAAAAGAATTTTCAGACTACGGATTCGTAGAATTTCTTTTTTCTTTTTAATTATTATAATAATTTTGAAACCCTACGAATTCGTAGTGTGAGGGCGCACGTACCCTCTGGGCACGTGACCGGCTATACTAGCCGTTTTAGCTAGCTCTTTAGTATAAGTTGAAAGCTTCGCTTCTAACTTTCTTTCTAGTCTTTAGTAATAAATATACTTCTATAATAACTCCTCTTTCGTTTCCCCGAACCCTTTTATACGTAGACTTTAAATCCTTTTTCCCCGACGGGTAGTAGTAATATAATAATAATACAAATAATATAAATAATACTAATAATTTCTATTTTTATATAATATAATATATATAAGGACCAGCCCCTAATCCTCCGATCCTAAATATAAATAATATAATATTATTTATTTATACTTGTATTAAATTGTTTTTAAAAAATAGTTAATTAACTAAAGTTAGTAATATATTAAATATAAATTTTCTTTTTATTCTTTTTTGGAATTGAATTCGCTATCTCTAATTGAGTATTATTCTCGATTTATGTTATTTTTATTTTATTAGTATTGTTTTTTATAATATATAGACATCCGATATATAATTTCTAATTTTAAATTAGTTTTAGGTTATCTATTAAATTAAATAATCTATACTGCTTTTATCAGATATAATACTATTATAGAATAGTTAATACTTAAATTATATAATTAAATAAGACATACTATTAATCTAATTTTAAATAAAATATTAAAAGTTTAATTATAAGTTTAATCAATATTATAGGAGTTTTATATATAATTAAATTAAATCAAAAACTGATCAATATTATAATCATATATTGAATATAAAGATATTATAGAAAAGAATATCTCTTATATAAGAGACTTTCTACGACGTAGAACGGGTGTCTAGATTCTGATAACCTTTATAATCATCTCTCTTATTTTATCTTTATTTATAAATTTATAGAACTAAACGAGATGAAAGTGTACTTGATATTGCGTGATTAAATAATTTATATATTATATTATTATCTTGTTTATAAATTTATAAAGCTTCTTTAATCAGTTATAAGTAACTGTATAGTATTTTACTTAATTAATATTAAAAAGTAAGCTCTCGACGCTTAGAGTAGAATAATGTAAAGAGAATGAGAATGTTATAAGAGAATCTAATACGATTTCAATATATAATATAATACTTCGATTCTCATATACTAAACAAAGACTATCTCTGACTTTATAGAACGGAATAGTAATTTAGACACTAAGATATCCTTTTAAGTTGAATCTAATAATATTCGCAGCGATGAACTTTAGATGTTATTTTAAAACTCTTAAATCGAGGCCTATCGAGATTATTTCTGGCTGCTAACAATAATTCCATTTCCCAAGTAGCACATCGAAGTCAGTCTTCTTGAAGCTCCTACGAAAACCCATATAGTTGAGTGTTCTCGTTTGAGGGGTGTCACAGCAATGCTTGTTGACAAAATATGATGGCGATGAACAAAATTTATTAATCAAAGCCCTTCATGATCTAATATCCACAAAATGAGTTGACTAAATAAGTGTGTACTACCCAACATCACTCCCTCACCCCGTAAAACATTCCTTCATTCAAACTTCATAAACAAAAAGAAAACTTTCAATCTTCAAGTCTTCATAGCAAGTTCCAGACCCAAGCACTCAATCTGACTAATACTAACAAAATCAACATATGCAGACCCCCATTACATACACTTCATTCTAAGTACTATTAAATTGTTACGTACAGCCAACAGCACGATTGGAGATACAGACGTCAGCCGCGCTGCGCTTCTTGACCTCACGCTTCTTTGATCCAAGGACCCCATCACTTTGTGCAGAATTCGAATTGAAGTCAACAGCAGTCAACGCATCGGCTATAAAGCTCTGCGCATAATAATGCTGAAAGGTCTCCACACTTGACCAAGAGAAGCAGGCCGTAGCACCATTGGCACTATTGCACCATGATCGCGGACTTGAGGGAAAATTCTCGTACAGGACATTCCCGAGGGCGCCGTAGAGGATGTTGACCGCGGCGGTGCTGGCAACGTGAGAGCCAGATTTGATCCAGTTCCATCGAGACCGCTTGTCAAGCGTGGAAAGCGATGTGTCATGGACAACGACGTGGCTGCCACACAAGGAGACGTGAGAGGCCATGTCGCCGGAGAGCTCGTTGCAGAGGAAGTTTGAGTCGCTAGCTTGGGTACTGGAGAGGGTCCCAGCTCCCGTGACATTTAGGAAGCTGATAAGGATTTGAGACTCGTCGCCTGCAGCATAGGCTGTTTTGTAAGCTACGATAGCTTCCGTAGCTGCGGTGCCGTCTGAGGCAAGGTGGTAATCGAAGTCTGTAGCATCGGCACCGAAGATGGTTGCGGCGACTCGGGACGGATAAAAGTAGGTGCCGAATTCCGCAGGTTCGGAGAGAACAAGTGAAGCTGTTGGGAACGCAGAGGCGCCGACTACGACTCTTTGGTACAACGCTATGCCAACGGCGACGCCGGCAACGCTGACAGCAGATTTGATAATCTGCTTGCGGGACATTGTGCGCACTGGTTGGACGTAGTAACTATTTGGGAAATTCAGCTATAAGTAGAAGAAATGGAAATAGAGCTGATGGCGGACACTTAGTAAGAGAGAGAGCTGCTGCCTTCTATGTGTACGAAGTAACTATTCGGAAGATTCAGCTATGAGTGGAAGAAATGAAGATGAAGCTGATGACGGATATTTAGGATGAGAGGAGGCTGCCATTTATATAACATGCTTCGATAGTGACCTAGGAAAGAGTTGCATACTTGCTAGCATACGGCTACCCCTGTTTGACACAAATATACAGCTCCGTAATAGTACAATTTCACCGAGTTTATTGACCGGAGAGAGCTGCCTATTCGGATCAGGTGTACCGTTCCGTCAGTGGATAGCTAGCTAAATTGTACATCTTTATCGAGTTTTGCTTACTCCGAGCATTAGCGCCAGTTAAACATGTGGAGTGGATGAGTTTTCCTGCCCAAGTGGCCCGCAATAAATAAGGCCGGCTTAATCACCAACTCGAGATGCATAGGACTACAGTCGTGTACATTGGAAGTGCTTCGGTGGAAGTGATGCTTCATATGTTTGTGCCGTCGCTATGCATACAAAGAGGAAAGTCACCGAAATCAAGAGTACAACTGTGCTTACGAGCTCAGGTAGAGAAGAGAAGTGGGAATGAAGATGAGAATTAAGCATAGGGACTGGGGAGAGATGAACGGCTCCACCGAGTATACCCAGTGAGTGCATACTGACTGCATCGCAACTAGCGATGGGGTCCTACCCCTCAGGTCAGGATCTTGTTCTTTCGATTAAATCACTTGGCAATGTCATTCAAAGAGGCACCAATTCGTCATATTAGAAGGTTAGCGTCCTTCGTGCTCAAACAAGCCTTTTCGCCTCCTGACAGAGTTTGACATGAGTCCCTTCTTCAATAGCATACCTCTCGGCCTTTCTTGAACACCTTCCAATTGGAGTGCCTGCACTTCGAGTATAACTGTTGGTATCACTTTCTGTAGTAGGCGCTTCGACCCACCGGGACTCTGGGTCACTTGACCACGCTAGCCCCCACAGAAGTATATTAACGCTTCTACTCGTAATACTTATTGATTAACCAACTACAACCTCAACGATACAACAGCACCCTGCGCGAACTCGCACGCGGAAGTGCCAGATCAGAGGCAAGTAGTTGTAGTGAGCCCACAATCACGCTGAGTTAGTCCACTTATCCACTTGTTAGTCCAACAGTGTTCAATGAAGTAATAAACTAGTAGTGCATCGAGAGTTGATGAAGCTTTTGATGTGTTCAATTGTTGTAATGATTACCGTGATAATAATCAATTAAGGTGGAGTACCTATCTAGCCTGCCACTTCAGCTTATACGAAGCTTGCCTGACTATTTATGTTCCAACAAACAGAGACCCAGTGGTCGCAATGGTTGGCTTTGGGTGGTGTACCGCTGGCTTTAAGCGGTAATAGGAATTAAAAAAACTATGACCCTAATCAATAGTTGACTATAGATAAATATTTGATTTTCGCGGGTTAAGTAGCTAAATCTTATGTCCTAGGGATTTTGAGCTACTTATAATAGACAGATATTAGGGGCTCTGATCAATCTATGATTGGTAATGACTTGGGGATGAGTATTGGAAGTACAGAAATTTCACTACAATGGATATCGAAGTCCCTCTCTCATTATAATGCTCTTTCTAGCCCCTCCGAGATAGAGCCCCGTCGGGGGTATCTCATAGGGCACGGACTCCATTCTTCAAATACTGGCAAGTATGTTCCGGAAGATCCTGGCTTAAGATCAAAATAGGCAGGAGGCTAAAAACGAACGGGAAGTGATTAGGGATCTCCGGCTTCGAGAAAAAGCATCTCCGTATTATTAATGATAAAATTCACTCCGCAGATAATGAGGATATATAATTGTAAGCTTAGAGAAGGAATGAAAAATGCTAGAACATTTGCTCATAAAGCAGACGGGTATGAATATCTTTCTTACAAAAAGAAAATTTGTGAGAGGAAAGTCAGGAGTATGACTAATAAGGAGAAGGCTCATATTCAATTTCTTTTTCCTCGGTTCAGAAATTATTATAGAATCACTAATGAGAGACCACTCGAGATCGATGTCTCCAGATCCATAGAAATGTCACCTCACTGTTAGTATTGATTTCCTAAATCGGGATTAGCTCGGTTACATGAACAAGCTTTTCCGTTGGAGACTGCATATCGATACTTCTACTCTATACATAGTATCAGAAACTAGGCATTAATGAGTACGATATATAATAGCTTTCTATACTATATTTTAATGCTAACTATTATTCTAAGGATTTTTTTGGTGGTCAGCACCGGTGGTGACCACTACCCTAAGGGGGGTGGTGACCCTCCCAAAAAGTCACCATTTGGTCACCACTCCTCCACGCTTCAATTTTAGGGTTTTCGAAAATCTGAAAAGGGTTAGGGTTAGGGTTAGGGTTAGGGTTAGGGTTAGGGTTAGGGTTAGGGTTAGGGTTAGGGTTAGGGTTAGGGTTAGGGTTAGGGTTAGGGTTAGGGTTAGGGTTAGGGTTAGGGTTAGGGTTAGGGTTA